GGTTTATGTCTTTAACAAACAGAACACAGCTCTGCCATCTTCAAAGGAGTAGAATTACTCTGGACAGTGATAGGTTAATCTTGACGAGAAAGCAATAGATTTCCCAACATCCCCTTAAGACATTAGTATATACTATCTCTGATAATACCAAGATATCATAATATAATATAGCATCCTGACAGAGCAGTATGCATAAACTTCTGTATCTTCCACTCCCTTTCTACAAGCAAATTTTATTATTACCATAACTGCAGTAAACTAAAGATCAGATACTGCTATTTTTTCCTCTGTTCCTCTCCTTTAACTACATTTATGAACAATTTATTCTGTTCCAGTAAAACAAATCACTTAAAAATAGCTATGAAGTATGGTAGAAATAATTTAGTACATAGCTATATATAAATATTTCATAGATACATATATGTATGGATATATGTGTATGAATGTAAAACCAAAAATGGAGTCATGTTAATATGTATGGCCATTCTTATGAAAAAGTATATGCTTGTAAAGGAGGAGCAAGTATATATTAGATGATAGTTGTCAATTTCCCTGTTCCTGTGGTTTGTGAGCTATGCTGTATATATAACAATCCTAACTTACCCACAAGCAAAGTCCTCTTAATGTATTAATTTACCTGTGAAACAAACTATTTTGTACTGAAAATGCTGTTTCAGCTTCAATCCTACATTATCACCTGTTCAAGCAGGGTTTTGAATTGAGGCAAGCCACTCTTCAAATGACTTAACATCCAGATTGCCAGATGTGAAACTTGTAATGCCATTTTATACAGCACAGGCTTGGAATAAAGCACTATTTTACATAAAAAAACTACTCTTGAGGAATAGACAATCAAAACAAGTTTGAGTATTTGGGTAAAATAATTTAGTTTGGAGATACATTTCAATTTGCCTTTATAGGAAATGTGAACTTTGGATTAGTGAAATAACGTGGAAGATAGTGGTATGTTGCAATATTGGTTGAAAGCCAATAAAAACTGACACCCCCAATCTTGCCAGAAGGGAAATGAGTAGGGAAATCACTCAAGTTTGTCATATAATTTAAGCGATCAACATAAAAGTTGTTAACATTCACACTTATAAGTAAAAAATGGCCAACATTTCTAGATTTAAGGTGACCATAGAAAACTATTTCAAGACTTTGAATAGTCTCTTCAAAATAAAATCTGACTTTAGTTCCAATGCCATTTTAACCTAGCCCTCCCGTTAAGAGTCTGTTTTTCCACTGACTAGCCCTGAGCATTCTGCAAGTTCTTGACACTCGGGAGAGACTGTAGAGGGGCACTCCTTTTTTCCATGCTGGTCCTGTCTATGCCTCTGAAGAGTTAGACTGATACAATACACCTTGCAGAAGGAACCCTTGTTTAACTCATTCCAGTCATACTACAAATGCACTTGAAAATGAATTCAGTTTTTCCATCAGTTACCTGAAACATCTCAATTTCATAGACACAGTCTAACCTCAAAAGCATAAGTAATACAAACAGCTAAGAGTCATACAGGTCAACTCACTCATGAAAGTAAGGCTATGTCCATATTGATGTGTTTGCAGGACCTGCTGCTTTCATTCAGTGGAACATCACTTAGAAAATAGTCTTCATTATTTCTCAGAGACTTTATTCTATAAGTAACATATACAAACACACACACAGTATAATAGGATACAAAATTTTATTGTAGTCGAGGTAATATAATAATAACTTTCTGACCTCATGGTTTGGGTTGCAATTTCTGAGAAATGATACCCGTGTTCAATGATACCCTGTTTCAATAAATATTGAAGCATTTTTTGCCAATGGGAACAGTATCCATAGAAAGACTGATACCGAGTACTTCAATGGCTGCACAATATGCTTGGTAAAAAAGGAGAGCCAAGGTAAAATTCCTGTTTCAAATCAATCAGAAAGGGATTTAAATTTGAATTTCACAGATACCACTTCAATGACCTAAATATATATAGGAGGGAATATAAAGGAGGTCATATAAAGGACGGAGGAGGAAAATACAATCTCCATGTTGTAATCTATACCTATTCTGTCTGTGAATTAGCTCTTGCTTCCAAGTATTTTGTTTAAAAAGTGAAACAATAGAGATAAAATGTTACATCAATCGAATAGTTTAATTCAAGCATAATGTATTTTACTGGAAGAGCATAAAAATATTGTACCGACCAAAACAATTTTGTATGGCCACAAAATTAAAGAGGTGGTGAAGAGAAAAAGATAAAAGATGTATGAATAATACTATTTCGTGTCACAGTTGAGCCATTTTAATGGAAATTTTCTAAATTATTCAGCTCAAGGTAGGTGCCAGAAATGTAAAATTTCAACATAAACAGTTAACATTTGGAAAAAAGATAAACACTTGGGTGTAATGTCTTTTGGTGAAAACCTGCACGCAGCTTTAGCTAAAGACCGTGCTACCAGCTCCACCTTAAAATTTTTTTTTATGCCTGCAACAAAACCAGGAAAGGACTGTGCAACAAAACCTTTGATTGTGAATGAAGTTAACAATATTAATTTCTTCCAAATGGAACACACTCATGGACATATAACAAATAATAATTTGATGTACTGGCTCAGACGTAACTGTTGCACAAAATAAAATCTACCGCTTTCAATATTTTAAGCAAAATAATTTTGGAGAATGGTAGAAGGGTCACGAAAAACCTTGGCTTACTGCTGAAACGATACAAATTTTTAAGGATGGAAAGCAGGGAACGCACCAAATCTACTGGCAAGGGCCTACATAGAACTTTATTACCCTGTAGGAAAGAAAAGAATTTTAGGAATCTTTATAATCCTGCTGGGCCTGTAAAAACAGAAACAAAGAGAGGTCAAGGGATCTCAATGGATGGTTAGACTGCAAAGCATGTGCACAGTGAAATACTTTGACATTAGTTTCAGAAAGGCAAGCACTGTTGAAATGACTTTGGACAACAGAGAATAACAAGACTACTGAAGCCTATTCATGTCAGTAAGAGTATTATAAATAATTATAAATTATAAATTTTATTAGTAAGACTATTATAAATACTATTTCACATCACAGGAAGTCACAATGCACATGCATACCAGCACAATACAAATATTAAACTTCCAAAACTCAGGCCTTAGAACAATGACTATAGCTTTCTTGACTATTTTTCTAATCAGAGGCCAAAGCATGTAATTTCAAGAAAGAAAGTCCAAATGTTTGAAGTATAAATATCTATAATCTGAAGCTATTTATCAGAGGGAAGAAGCTGAGCAACCCCTAGTGGTAGCTGAAAAATACATTCTGGAAAAAAAAGCAAAATTTTTTACGGGACCAAAGCATTTTCAAAAATACATTAATTTGTAAACACAAATTCCTGTATTATATGCAGTGTCCAAAGCTGATGATAACGTTTAGAAAAAACTATAAGTAAAAAATCATGTATGACTCATGGCAGTTTTCCCCTAGAATTCAAGTAGAATGTGATAATTGTGTTTGATAAAATACACTACAATATAGCCGTCTTACAATATATTAAGAAGAATCTTTTTATACATCTTTCTCAAAAAAGACTGCATTTTTTTTCCCTAATTCTAAGATGTCCTAATGCAGCTACTGCCAAATTCAGCATCATCATTTAGGGAGGGATTTGCAAACACTATACCAATGAAACACACAATGTGATATTAAAAAAAAAAAAAAAAAAGCTTAGACCTTTTTGTATTTTGTTTGAAAGTGGTTATCTAGAATTCAGTTTTATCAGCTGTCTTCTAGAAATTGCCTTTTGCTCTTCCTTCTTTTATGCTTGGAAATAAGACTGAACACTAACCAACAACTTTTCCAGTACAAACTGTACTTTCTGTCTTCTCAACCTTTTTGAAATTTACTCCAGTTGAGTGAGATTTTCTGTTAGCCATCAGCTGCTCAAGATTCTCATGAATACCCATCAGAACAAAGGAGGTACAAAGACAGAGATGAATGTGCCTGAAAACATCAATATCAAAGAACTCAAAATATATCTGAACTGTATACAGTCTTTCAAAAGTTATCCATACAGAGGTATTAAAAGGAAAAGCCCTTGCTCTGTTGCCACCAATGATCCCATGCCTCTAGCCATCACCAATATAAAGGGATGGTGCTTCATAGTGTCAAGGTGATTTCACACACCACAAGTCCAGATACCAGTAGATAGTATTATAAAATAAAAGAATGAGTCCAAAATTATGTCCTCTTGTTTGCAAAAAATGTAATATTGAAGACAATGTTTCCAAAATCAAAGACAACACTGACAGACCTAAAATCATACTTAAAAGCGCAGTTGTAAGAAATCACTTTGGAGCTCAGTTGTTCTTGATTTTCACTGTGTTTCTAAGGTGACTTTTGAAAATTATTTTGGGTCCAAAAATTAGTTTAGGCAGAAAGTTAATTGGCTTGTTACTGGAACACCTGCATCTATTCCAAAGATGACAAAAAAGGATCTCAAGAGACTTGAAGTCACTCCCTAAGAAATCACATTGGGGAAAAAAACCAAGAAACAAAACAATCCCATCGTTTCACCTATCATAATTATACTGCTAGAGCATTTTGTGCTGAGCTGTAGCAATCAGCAAAGCAGAAACTTAAGTGCAAATTGCAAGCCACCAATTTAAGTTTGGAGCTAGCACAAGACTCCTGTGATAGACTAATGGCTAGCTACTTCAGAGCCAAGAAATCTGACATACAAATCTTACGTTCACTGGAAGAAAGACAACATGACAGACATCTTTGAAGAATTTGTGAAAATATTCTTACAAACATTTTTAAAGATCTCTGATTTCTTACTGAAATATATGTATAATTTTACTATAAATAATCTATTGGTAAGGCGTAGTGCAGTGTGCCCTCAGGTGTTGCCTACTTGGTAAAGTGTGCTTAACAGACCTTTCATTTTTATCACATTCAGGAAACTTTCTATTACATTTAAGAAGAATTCATCATTTCATGAATCACATGAAAATATCATACCTCCAAGTTGCTGAGATGCTGTTTTTCAAGGAGTTGTTGCATTTCTTTCAATTTTTTTTGGAAGAGAAGTTGGTTACTGTCCATGTTTGTTCTACTTCTGTCTTGTACTGTTTTATCCCAGCCAACCATTGCTGAAATCTGCTTCTGATGGAAAGAACTGTTTCTAGATGCTGATGAGGATGAAGTGTCATCTGTGGTTCTTGATGCAAGCAAATGACTTATTACTTTGGCTTATTTCTATACGTCAACTGTACACTTTTAAACATGTTCCTTTCCAAAAGTATACATCATCAGTAAATGCCTGTCAAGTGAAGGACAGCTATACTATATGTAACTACAGGTGGTGCTGTTAGTACTATCTAAAACTGTCCAACACTTTCCATTTTAAACCTTCTCTTCTGTTATTTATAAATAGTCAGACTTTTCTGATTGGGTTGTTGGGTGACTGCCTCAGGCTGAACTATTCTGGAAAATGTCAGCCAACAGTTTGGTCATTTACAGAAATGGAACATGGAGGGTTTTTTTTTAAAAAAACAAGCAAAATGGCCTTTATTTTTCCATAAGGTTGGCTTATATAGAGGATATCTATATACTGCCATGTATATAGTTGATATATGCTGTCAGATATTCCCTTACTTCAAGTAGCAAGAAGGCTTTGTAGTATCTAGAGACCCCAACTCTACTGATGACGTGCAATGTCAGTAATGTGGTACATTAAAGAATTTGTATTTGCTACCTGAGAAAAAAAAACCTTTGGAGTAGGTAGTGTAGCTGGGTACTGTGGTCAGGATGAGCCCAAATTAAGATAGAGGAAACCACAGGTTTCTACAGGATAAGAATTAGCAAGAACCATGGGGCTGGTTGACAACCAGGAATCAAAGAAGCCAAGAAGCATGTGAAGCCAAATGACAAGGAAAATATGCAAACAGAGACTAGGAAGGCAGGGAGCATGTAACAAGATATGTTCAAGAACAAAAAGCAGATAGAACTGGAACAAGGCTGGGTAAGATCACTAGGAATAGGAACCAAGCTTTGGAAAACAAGCAGCAAGAACTAGGTAGATACCAAGGAAGACAAAAACAAAAAACAAGAATGACAAAACCAAGAAACAATAAGAAAGGTAGGCCTTAAAAAAAAGCAAAAATAACCCACGCACCAAAACCCACCAGCTCATAGGTAGATCAAGCTTTAGTCTTCTGGAAGTATAACTATTACCAGGTTGCCAGCTATACTTGACTGCCTAGGTGGAACAGTTTAGCGAAGGGCACTGATCCTATCTTTTGGCTCGAACCTGGTTTAAGGGCCGTAAATGCCCTTAGTCTGGCATATCCAAAGTGGCACTTACAGAAATCTCTCACCAGACCCATGCTTTGAGTTCTCACATCTGTTCAGTACAGCCATAACCCTTACAATTGATTAGCAAGCCAAGCTTATGTCTCGTTGTTTTAGGATCAAGTATTTGTTGCACTCCGCAATGATTACAAATGGTGGTAGAAGGAGAATAGATCTTGGAAACAGGTTATCAGAATAAACTTTCAGTGAAATTATTTGTAAAATGGGTATACTTTTACCAAGAAGGGGAGATCCAGCCTTTATTTTACCTGGTTGATCCAGCCTTTATTTTACCAAAGTGAAATTACACTTTGTCTCAGCAATCACTGGATTTTGAGTAACAAACCAAACCTTATTGTCCATTCAATATGCAGATGCTTTCCAGCATTCCCAGGATGCATTTCTCATATATAGTTCCTTAGCAGCGTCAACATGATCCCTTAAATATTGCTCAATTGGGTGAAGGTGTTTAGCTAAATTCGTGGCAAAAGTGAACTTTTAGTCTATATGCAACTAAATATGAAAATCATACTTTCACATATTTCCCTCTTTTTTTTTTTTTAATTGGAATCTGGCCTGACAAGATGATCTACTACGCACATTTTAGCCATCCTCATTTTCAGCGAAGGTGATGGTGAAGGTGATGGTTCCTTTCATAGATGGGCAATATGCAGTGTAGGAGCTTGTAAGAAGATATGACTATTTCCTGCCACACAAAGCTATCTTCCTTAACAGCTGGCACCCCTATTGAGCAAATTGAACAGTGCAGTCACATAATACATACACAGACCTCATCCTCCTCTGATGCCTATCCAGCAGAGATGCATTATTAGGAAACATATATTGTTCCTAGCTGGAGATGGCTACCCCATGTCTAATATATGTAGAGAAACCCCTTCCCGTCATTTTTCTCCATTTCTTCAGCTTAAGTTTCCACAGTTCCTTCTTCTGAGCCTTCATCTGTTTCATCCTCTTTCTGTATCTAGAATTATACTCCCTGTTAAAGTCAATCCCTTTTCTTTTTAGTACATCTGTGTCAAATGGGTAAATAATCTAATGAGGCCTATTCTGTATTTATTATAACACTTCCAATTTTAGGACAATGGAAAATGGAAACTTTCATCCCATCAAGATTATTGTTATTTTTCAGAAGATTTTATACAATACTCCAAAAAGGTTGGCTTAATTGCACTGACCTAAAGCAGACATATATATTTGGCAGAGTTTAAAAAGGAATTTATTATTTCTGATGAGATGGCTGATAGCAAAAAGGGAGAACAACTTCTCATATTTATTTATAGAACTCAGAAAACTGCATTCGGTGTTCTTTTGAACAGGAGATATCCTCGCTATCCAAAAACTTTCTGTACCTATCCACTTTTAAAGACTTTGTTACTGTGGACCAGACTGATATACACCTGGCCCCCAAAAAATTTGTTGGTTTTTTTTGGGGGTGGGGGGAAGTTTCTTCATATGTATTTGGATGTTTAGACCATTTCTATTTATAAAAGTTTCTACATTACAACTTTTTTCAGAGAACATTTTTGATTTGTCATAATTAAGTTTCTATCCCAAGACTGAACCTAATCAAATACAAGTGTTTTTAAACACAAGCAGGGAAATATATCTTGTACAAAGAGCAGCACACCATTCATACACCTAATGTGCACACATCCCAATCCCTGTTGGCTAATGAGTTGACCAAAATCTTTGCTTCAGCATTTAATAACTAAACCTTACTAGAAGCAGAGTAGCTCTGTTGCAAGCACAGAACACAATCAATCACTCACTCTCACCATGTTCCAGGATTTTTTGCCTTTCTCCAAGAGGAGGTAATATGTCTCCATTGCTTAATTTAATTTTTTACAACTTTTTAAAAATAGACATTAAGAATTCTAGAACCTTATAAAATTCACCTATATCCAGTTGGGTCTGCAGCCGTATTTATCTTGAATACTTAATACAGTATTCATTTCTTCCTTTAAAAGGGGACTGTCAATGAATTCTATATATTCTATTTCTGAGGGAGGATGAATTCTAAAGATGATACAAGATTTTTGGTTTGAGTGTTTATAGAAGTGTAAGAAGAGATAGAAATACAGAAAGGGATTTACTACCTCATCTGGGTTAGTTATTAGCTGTCCCAAAATTTCCAATTAAAGGGATTGTAAGACATTTTTAAAGCTTTACAGCTCAGAATTGGTGAATTTTGAAGAACCTTCACCTTTGAGAACCTTTTCAAAGTGCTTTTCTATATCAAAGCTTACCTTGCTCTACTGATTTGCAAGAAATTTATTTGCCCTCTAAAAGAATTTTGCACAATTTTTGGAACCAAGTCTGAAAACACAGAAATGCCACTTCTATGACCCACACAAACTATGGCTCCCAAACCAAAACTAACAGGAACAACCCTGCACTAACAATTCCTGCAGCAGACCAGAAGAATCTATGCTGCATAGCACGTGTTCAGTTTGAATCTCAGTGCTTAGTAAGGGATTGTGTGAGATGCAGACAAAAATGCATAGAGTATTTTCTGTCACAAGGAAGGAAGACAAATTGTTACCATTAGAATAAGCAAAGCTTTATTTCATATTAATTTGTATACCTTGCCCCTATACACAAGCCTGTACTGCAATAACTTAATTCTTTTTCCCTTACTACCATACCGCCAAAATTTTCTACATCCTCCTTCACCCACCCCATATGGCTCCTACCCAAGCCTCCTAGTTACCAGCTGGGGAAGAGGCAGCACATTCTGTGGCAGATATTCGTGTGCTGTCTTATCCGTACTAACTGGCTTGTGACCTGCCAATAGGTCAATGTGGACTCAACTTTCAAGCCTTTTTCATGCTGGGGCCACTTGTTTGAATAATTTCTTTCTTGCCCAATTGCCAATTTCAAACTTGTGGAAATAGAATTATCTTTGAGATTCTTATCTCTCTCTCAAATTTGGTTACTAGGGGAACACAAACTGTAAAAGAATATGAACATATAAATTTAATTTCCTTAGGAAATCGGGTTATAAAACTGAAAATCAGGAAAAGAACACACTATCATTATTACAGGATAGCGAATTTTTAAAATTATACAAATATAATATGGAGTGACAGAAAATGTTATACTGTAAGAAATGGTAAGTGGTTTGAAGAGGTCCTGAGAGAAAAATGTGAGTCCCTGAGGCACAAGGAGCAGTTTGAAAAAAGATGAAAAATAAATGAATGATAAAGGCAGGAGCAAGAGGCACTGAGCTGCTGTCCTTCGTCGAGCCTATGAGTGAAATGAGACAAATGATCAGGAACCCTTAGACAGGGTACAGAAACATCTACTTTTTTTTGCCATAATTTCAACTACTATTTAGCAGGTAGATTTTTTTTTTTTTTTTTTTTTTTTTTTATGGCTGCAATCCTCCTTTGTTATGTCAATCCAGTGTACTAGCTGCAGAACTATATGCATGTTGATGGGCAGATAGCATGAGTATTTAGCTCTAAGAGGTATGAAATATTTTCTCAATTGCCCATTTTATCACCTGCAAACATGTATTAATCAGCAGTAGATATGTAATCAAACTGAATATTAACATCACAATGAAGAACACACTGAAGCAGAAAAGTAGGGAGATCCCTTTCAGACAGAATTTATCTGTATTCTGAACATCTGCACAATTTACAGCATGAAGAAAATAATTATAATAATAGTAATAACAAAAGCAGCAACAACAAAAATAAAACCCTGAACTGAAACATTGAATAAATGAGAGATTAGGAAGGGGATAATAAGGAAGGAGTATCAAATACAGATATATCAACTATGCATGAAGAAACATTCTGGGACAAGTCAAGGTATCTTAGAAAAAGTGGTTGGGTAGAGTGAAAAGTATGCAATTCAAATTGTATGTGACATAAAATGAAATTGCATGCAAAATTGTTATCAAGATGCTCAAGATATATACAGAGGATGAGAAATTTAAAGGAATGACAGACGGGAAGAAAGTAAGATCATGGGATGAATATACAAACTAAACTATCCTTGAATGTCAAAAGGAAAAAATCTGGATGAGAGTAAGAAATCATCTAGAAAAAATACTTTATAATTCATAAAACAGCAGATGTTTTGATAACCATGGCAATCATCTGAGTCAGGCTATAACTGAATGGGGACCGGCTTAGTCCCGACTATACCCTGAATTCCGCTGAAGGGAAAAGGATTGTGTCATCTTCTCTGCTGTTTTACCAAACGGACACAAACAACTCAAGGATGTTTCATAATGTTTCATTGGAACAGTTCACGGAAATGCTTTCTTTGCCACAAGAGAAATGGCCTACAATTTCTTAAAGGGTAATTGTCTGCGTTTATTGAATACTGTAAGCAATGTACTTCCTTTGATCATCAGAATAAACAGAAATGCTTACCTGAAGTTGGTTTTGTTTCTGCTGGGCCAGCACAGTCCTGGTGTTAAAACTGATCCTTTAATTTGTTCAAGAGCTTCTTCTAACTGAAAAGCTGCTTTTGTCTGGACTAGAGGGATTAGAGAAAAAAACACAATAGAAAAAATATTTTTAAAATTTGAATATTTTACCGTAAATGTTTTGGTTAAGTTTCTGAAGTTTGGAAGCCTAAATCCAGAGTGTTACAATAAACTGAATGGTATAGCATCATTAGACATGCTGGACCATCTCTAGTTCCTCTGAAACAAAACCCCAGTCTATTTAAGTGTTTACAGTAACACGTGTTCAACAGTTTTGCTATTTGTTTTTAGACTGCACTGTTGAAAAAGTAGGAGGTTAAAAAATCCAGCACTAACTTTGTTTTTACATCATGATTATTCCCCTCATGCACTAAGCCAAAGTTATGGCTTGCAGATATTTTATAGAGGCCAAAGTGTAACTTAATAATCGAATCGGTGGAGAAAGAAAGAGTCCAGACAGGCACAAGGTATCGCCTCTTTCAAGTAAGTAAAAGTAGGGTAGAAAGTGGCAGAGGCAGAATTGCTATAAAGGAAAACCAAGAAAAAAATTGTGGTTCATTATTGTTACACAGTCTGGGCTGTCAGTAGAACTATGAAGAAGCCCTAAACTAGTACTGTTCTATTTTGTTATTTTAATCTGACATTTGATCTTGAAGTCAGAGACATTACCTCACAGCTGGCACAATTGCAGTTGGGAGAGTAAATCTGTTAAAGAATACCTAAGTAATATACCATATCTTAAGATTTTCAACACTGGAAAGTTGACTGGAAATCAGTCTTGGCTGATGCTATTAAAAACTCCTGCCAATCTGCACTGATTCCAAGAAAGCAGGAACTGAGTTGAAGTGATCATTACTTCCCAGCAGCGAGAGAACAGCTTAAAAAGCTGACTAATTCAGCAAAAGTTATGTAATACATTAATATATGCTAGGACTGCTTTTACTTAGTGATAAACAAAACGCACGTTCTTGAATATTCCATATTCGCGGGTACAAATAGCAGATCATTATACTATCCTAGTAACTTTCAGTGGCCTTGTAACACCTCACACCCAGCACAGTATTGTAAGCAATAAGCACACTGCAGTGAAAAAAGTGGGGAAAACCCAGGAAACCCCAATATCCCAAGGAGGTGATGTACTTACTGTGACTGGAATATAATGAAATATCTCACAATACAATTTTTAGAAAAAAAAGTTGTTTTTTTTAATTTCCTCTACCCAATTTTGTCGTATGTATCAGATCTGATCTTCTTGTCTGTTAAGTTTTGCTTATATGAATTCAATTAATTTGAGTGAAGTTAATTGTTCTGTTTGCCTCAATTATATTCTATTAATAGAAAAACACTTGTATTGTGAATAATAGTTAAATTTTAATTTACAAACCTATTTGCTTGTGCTGAGAAAAAGGCAGATGAGCACGCTGGAACTTATCAGTTGCTTCCTGAAGTTTAATTTTCCTCTGCTGCAGAACTTGTTCTCTAAATCTCCGTTCTTTTTCTTCCTCTTGCTTCCATCTTTCTTCAAAGGCTCTGTATTTAAGAAATAAAAATAGATGATCCCTATGTTTTCTAATTACATTTACCAAAATATTAGTAACTTACTTGCTTATCAATTTGCAATTTTAGTACAAAAGCTTGCTTGTTCATAAATTAAATGCTAAAAACTTCAGCACAGCTGGTTTTATAGTTTGTCTGAACGTAAATGGGACAATGGGTGATGAAGAAGAGACACACCAAAATCTTTTTATTTTTTAGCCTCTTATACATGAATTAACATGCAGGCTCAAGCAGTTCTTGTCACCAATGTGACTTTCACCACAGTCTTTACATTACCACGTAAATGTATCACAGTGGGCAGATCAATAGGAACGTGAACTGCAAATGCTCTGTGTGTGTGCCTTTCACGAGCTGTCAGGGAAATAGGAACAGTTTAAAAGTTGTTATTCAGAAATAACACAAAGGAACTACAGCTTTTACCTATAAATATGTAAGAGTTAGTATCAACTTCTAGTTATTGAGAAGCTTCCTGAAAGACAATCAGATTAGTAGCACAAAATGGGATAAAACAGTAATGTGAAACTATGATTGACAGAATCAGTTGTTAATATCAAATATGTTAAACATGTCCTTCTACTGGCTGGAAAGCAAAGCAGGCTCTAATCGAAAACAACCATCAACACAAAGCTTTCCTTTGGTAGGCACAATCTTGATGAAACTATGTGGAATTTTTAGTACTGCGGACCAAATCATCAACTTTTACTGACAAACTTAAACTAGCTCCTTGAGTGAAATATACCCAGTACATTTATTGGCACAGTGCCTATGTAGGCAAGCCATATTTAAAAATGGTTTTAAACTAAAAGAGGGTAGATTTAGACTAGATTTAGACGTGGTAGATGCCCCATCCCTGGAAACATTCTATTCTAAATACAGTGATAGTGTAAAAGTAATACTTTTCATGTTAAACTTCTAAAGCCTGCCATGCAAGGATCACTACAACTGGGAGCTTCCCATCTTTAGAGTTCTCTGTGTGTTAGAAACGTGATTTGGCAGGTCACTAGTACACTAAGTAGGGTCCCACTCCTAGCCAGCATTAGTGGAAAGAAAGGTAGTGATGTTTAGCCATATGTTCTTTGTTTCTCTCATCACAGTAAGATACCTTCCCATAACTTTAATCACTTGCAGTTGCTTCATAGATCTTCTTGCTTAATGGAGAAAAGCTGCTACTTAACAGAGCTACTCCTTAACTCGAGCTATTTTAATTATTCTTCCCTTTGCTTTTCAGGGAAAAAGTTCAAACTGAAATATTCAACTCGACCCTCCCTAGTATCCCTTCAAAGTGCTGACTGATCACCTGTGAAAACAAACAGAAAAATAATTTGAAACAGATACTTTTTATTTTAGAAAGTCTAAAGGCTGTAATTGCAGAATAGTAAAAAATAGGAAAACTGCCAACTAATTCCCAAGTACACACTTTTACAGGAATATCCACTTTAATCCACTTGGAAGCCAAAGCGTAGCAGAGAGAGACATAAGGAACCTCCACTGTTTTGAAAATTCATATGTGCGAGGTTGTCAAAACATATTGAAACTAATGACTGAGATTTCCCAATTTTATGGACAAATTATGACATTTCATTAATAGAAATTGAAGACAAAATAGATACTATTGTTTTAAAGTGGAAATGCACTGTAAACAGATTCCATGCAGCTATTCAAACTTTAAATCACAAAGACTAAAAAAAAGCATTGTGAGGGCACCTTAAAACTTCTCCCCATATCATAAGGGGAAACTGAAAGTTGTGTAACATCTGATCTTCCTTTCTTCAATACTATACCTCCAGTACTATCAATGTTAAGCTCCAGAAAGACAGTGGTGGAGCACATGAAAAGCCAAAAGCAAGAAGAAAGACAAAATGTGCAAAAGGATCCACTGCTTTTGCTAATGTATGTAGCACTCTGGATTAATGCTCTCCAAGGTCAGAAATCAAAATGCCGGTGAACAACATAAGCAATTACTGCTTCTACTTTGGAAGTACATTCCCCGCAGAAAGCTCCAGATCTCCCAGCAGCAGTATTCCTCATAATTGTCTTGGATCACAAGAACTGCTGAGACTACATCCTGTAATGTATACAGACGGTAGCTTACATTTTATTTTAACAACCTGTTTATTGCAAATGACAGTAGCTACACTTTCAAAAATCCAGCTGAATTTCTACAATTCAAGGTAACTCTTCTTCTAGAGATGAAGTTATAAAACTCTACAGCTTCAAATGAAGGATTAGATAGAAGATTGACTTATGCAAAGAGAAGCAATTAAATTAAAATATGATCCCAACACTGCAAGTTTCATTTGCAAACTTCAGTTTGTCAGCAAGCAGGACATGAGGTGAAGCCAGACAAGCAGTTATCCAAAACCAGAAAAAATCTGCAGAGAACTCTAGCCACATAAAATGTCTTATTGCAATTTGGTTAAAATTTTATAGGAACTTTAATTCTACATACAATCCAGAAGTTAGAACCAAAAAAGTAGAACTAGAGTTCATCGTCAACTTTCAGTATTCCTGTATTTCACTCACGTTAAAATCTGATACAGAAATCTGCAATATTTTACATCTTTATCCTGATTAAAGAAATAGGAAAATCACAACAGAGGAAACAGACTTGCTTATCCTAGTAAGTGCTTTAAACACATTCTTCTTGATCTCCTTAATATTTCTCGAAGCTGCTCAAGAAGGCCTTTAGTTGAACTGCAGTTGTTAAATTCAGACATGTGGGAAATTCTACAACTTTGCACCTGGAGTAGTTCCAGCATATAACTCCAAAAAGGAAAGAGTCAATTCTGAGAGTCTTTATTTATTTATTTTTAAAATTATTTTGGAGTATGACTTAGCTGCACTCTTCCACATTCCTAATAACTGGCCCAAAAAAAAGACTGTCGTTCCATAGAGCTGGAAATGGGCAAGTCCAAATGCTGATGCAAGACGTCTTTTTCACCACAGCTCATGATGATCACTGTTTGGTTTGGATTAAGTGGAAGAAAAAGGATCTTATTTTAAACGTAAGGAAATGCATTAAAGATATTCAGTGAGGCCTGCATCATTAACTTCCTGACCTCACAGAATGTAAATTGTGACACCCAGGTGCATTATGTAAAAGAAATAATTCTACAAATGCACATTGACATCTTACAGAAAAACAGTTAAAGCAAATGTTTGTTCATCCACTCTCCTTAAGCCACCAGCTTAGGTTCGAATCACAGATGTAACATTGGCAAAAGAGTATGGCTTTAAGATGGAGAGTTAGCAGAAGAATTTCCTGACTGGTGTTTTTTTAACCCAGTTTTTCTGTCTACTATAAACAACCCAGAGGTGCAGCAATTTTTGAAACGTCTGCCAAAATGTTTATAGTGAATTTGGAATACGAAACTTAAAATATTTAGCCGTTTCACATATACAGACATTATATGGAAGGTATTTTTATGTTAAAAACAGTATGACTAGATGGTGGAACTATTTCCTGGTTAATTTTATTAAATTATCTTCACAGTGAAGTGATGGATGCTACATTCCCAGGTGGACTAAATGCCTTGGATGAAAATTAAAAAAGGAATATATACAGTGCATATGGAATGCTATGAAATGAACCTTTTGATACTGAGTTGATATTATTCATCCGTTGCCTATCACATTTAAAAACAAGTGCACAGTAATTTTAAAATTGAGGTAGGAGGGTATTTGTATACTTAATGACTAGAGCAAGATCAAGAAAAGGCTAGAATGGGCTGTCACACTCAAAATCCCCTTCATGGACAAACAGGAAACACACTTTATATCCTTAAAAAGATCTGCAGATGTTGCCCATAAATCATTTTTTTTCTTTAAGTGAGATACTTACCGGGACTATAGGAACACATATTAACTCTATTCCTTCATCTTCTTTGATTATTGTACGCTGAATACAAAAAGACAGCACCAAATTTCTGTAAGGGCTTCAGAAGGACCGACCCTTACAATGCCGTAAGGGCTCACAGAGAGCTGTCCTCCAAAATGCCCCGAAGGTTCACAGAGGGCTGCCCGCACTATCCACCAGTTGTTACACTCCAAATCTTGTTTATAGGCAAAAAGTAAGCACACCTTATATAAAGCCAATAATTTTTTTGTAAACATAATTCAAATCTTAAGAGTCTAATCATTATTAAACCAGATACAATTGTTACCGAAACATAATAATACAGTTAGAATACTTCTGTACAGAGAAAGCCTCAATAATAGTGATAAAAGAGTTTGAACTGTTATTCACACATTGAGTTTCTACCCCTTTTCCCGATGCTTACGCTTCCATTGCTCTTCTGCGTCCCAAGGGTGGTAGTTTCATTCTGGTGGTGCTGGGGTGTTATGGTGAGCTGTCAGCATCTGGAGTCCCTTCACCAGGAACAATATGATGTTTATGTTAATGTTTTCTTCTTCCTCACCTCAGGATCCACTGGGAGTAATTTTTGTATTTGCTAACATGCTTTTACACTTTTGCTCTTTCTTCATCAATCTGCAGCTCCACAGTACCTCCAAATATTCCATGCATGGTGCCTTTTACATATACTACATAGTATTCTTTTGTTCTCGTTACCCCTAAAGCCAGTTTTGTCAGATCTAGGTCTGCATTTCTTTAACTGACTATCGGTGAGTTGTTTATAGCCATGGGGTCTCCATGCCAAGCCTGTGCGCCATCTCTTATCATCCCCTGCCTGTACTCCTCTACGCCGCATCCTGCACCTCCAGTTCTCAAGGCTTCTGCTATCATATCAGGCCTATTTCCCTACGCTGCATCATTATGTTAGAGTCATAAATATCTCATTCTCTACATAGAATAACTGCTTGTTACTGCTATCTATATAAAACTACGGTCATACCATAAGAAGATAAACAAAGGCAAAATAAATTAGCCACAGACACCTGGTCAATTAGAGAAATTGCTGTTACAGCTAAACCAAGCAAAACAAAGCTCTGGGCAGGTCAAGAAAAGTTCAGAGAGAGCAAGCTTGGCAAGCCTCCATCCTGAGGCCTTGCAAATTCAGCACAATCCTGTTACCAACAATGGCAATACTGGTTTGCAGGTCTACACGGTTACAGTGACCACTACTTTTCACAGTTTCATTCTGATGTAGAAAGCAATACTAAATTCTTAACACTTCGCCCTCTCTGTTTACCAAGTGCTAACATTTTTCTCCCATTTCTGGCACTAGACTGCGTTTCGTTCTGTATCAACAACAGTGATGAATAATTTAGAGCTTTTATTAAATAATCAATGATAATCAACCAGTAGGTGGAGCACAAAGCTTGTGCATATGTTGAAAATAAAGTATTTTTGAAAAACCAGCAATAATGGGAATAGATTGGAAACTGATATGAACTGGGAAAGCGTTTCCTTCCCCAATTACAACAGATGGATTAGCTATTCAGATTTCAAGGTAATTCAAAATGCTGAACCAAGACAGCTGACTGTAACGTTTATTTAAAAATGCACATAGACAATTGCATGAGGAGATATTCTATTTCCACAACCAACCAACTACCTGCAACCAGTAACATCACAGTAAAATGGGATACACATTTTGCATTGAGCAATAACAGCAGGGTGGCTGCAGTCCCCAGCAAATCGGCAGCTGGTATATAAACACAAAATACGATATCCTATTCATTTACATCAAGTATATGTTTAGTCAGTAGCTCTTATTTCCAGAATACTGTTATTTAAACAAAATATCTGTCAGCTACTGCCCCAGAGCATGTTTTATTCTTAAGCTGATCTTGAAATCACAACTTCAAGTATTAGTGATCCAATAAAGGAATGACTTTCTTGATACTCATGCAACTTGTGTAAAGATAAGCAGTAGGCTGGTTGTTCACTGTGTTGAGGCACTGCTGTTAACACAAAACTAAAGGGCTTGGTCAGTATCAGAGATGCAAAGAAATGATGGCATCAGGTAGGATAGAAATACAGGTTCCTTTAAGTATTCAATTTGAAAAAGATCTCTGACTTAAGTTACTAGACTTTGCTTTGCAAAGCTATACTTGCTCTTTTCTGTGCAAGTGATGTTTTTGTCTTTTACTAATAAACCAATTAATTGAGCACATCGTCAGAAGTATTTTTAATGCTGAACCTGTATTTTAAAGGTATTGACAACAGATCAATACAACACTGTCAGGGAAAATTTCATTACAAGTACATTTAGAAAAGGCTGAAAAAACAGAAGACCTCAATCTGCAAGCTCTCTGTATATGCAGTTCTCATTAGCTTAAAAAGTGCTGGGCACTAGGGGCTATCAGGCTTGGACTCGGCCTTGGTATAGCCTTGTTTAAAGGTAGGCTGATGGTGGTTCTTTAAAAAAAAACACCAAAAGAAACCCACAGAAAAGTTTGCTTCCACAATGCAGCATAAAGAGAATGAACCTAAATGACACAAGACTGAGAACAGCAGAAGCTCTGATTTATCTGCCATAGATCTATCTGCTAAAGGAAATTCACTGCTATTTTTAGCAGAGGCTTTATAAATTTAAGGTTGACATTAAATTTGGTCATGCTTGACCAACCTGATAAACTTCTACAATGAAACAACTGGCTTCGTAGATGAGGGGACAGCAATGGATATTGTCTATGTGGACTTCACTAAGGCCCTTGATACTGTCTCCCATAAGATCCTGATAGACGAGCTGTTGATATATGGGCTGGATTAGCAGACAGGAAGGTGGATTGAAAACTGGCTGAATGGCCAGGCCCAGAGGGTGCTAATTAATGGCATGAAGTCTGGCTGGAGGCCAGTAACTAGTGGCATACCCCAGGGGTCAATACTGGGCCCAGTCCTATTTAACATCTTCATTAATGATCTGGATGATGGGGCAGAGTGTACCCTCAGCAAATTTGCAGATGACACAAAACCAGGAGGAATGGCTGATACATCAGGTCATGCTGCCATCCAGAAAGACTCAATAGGCTGGAGAATTGGTCTAACAGAACTTTATGAAGTTCGACAAGGGGAAGTGCAAAGTCCTGCACCTGGTGAGGAACAACCCCAGGCACCAACATATGGTGGGGGCCACCCCGCTGGAAAGCAGCCTTGCAGAAAAGGGCCTGGGGGTCGTGGTGGACACCAAGTTGAACATGAGCCAGCAATGGGCCCTTGCTGCAAAAAAGGCAAATGGTATCCTGGGCTGCATTAGGCGAAGTATTGCCAGCAGGTCGAGGGAGGTGATCCTTTCCCTCTACTCAGCACTGGTGAGGCCACGCCTGGAGTCCTGTGTCCCGTTCTGGGCTCCTCGGTACAAGAGAGACATGGGCATACTGGAGAGCGTCCAACAAAGGACCACAAAGATGATCAAGGGACTGGAGCATCTGTCTTATGAGGAAAGGCTGGGAGAGCTGGGACCATTCAGCCTGGAGAAGGCTCATGGGGGATCTTATTCATGTATATAAACACCTGAAGGGAGGGTGCAAAGAGGACGGAGCCAGGCTTGTTTCAGCGGTGCCCAGTGACAGGATGAGAAGCAATGGGCACAAACTGAAACACAGGAGGTTCCCTCTGAACATTAGGAAACACTTTTTTTCTTACTGTCAGAGTGACCGAGCAGTGGCACAGGTTGCCCAGACACTTTGTGAAGTTTCCATCCTTGGAGATACTCAAAAGCTGTCTGGACATGGTCGTGGGCAACAAGCTCTAGGTGGCCCTTCTGTAGCAGGGAGGTTGGACCAGATGACCTCGAGAGGTCCCTTCCAACCTCAACCATTCTGTGTGAAGGTTAGAAGTAGAAAACAGATTGTCATACTTCACAGTGCACTCATGACTACTCTCCATATGTTGAAAGAAAAAAAATATGAGAGAAACAGTTCTGAAATTATAAAACAGCAGTGCCAAAAATAACTTCTGATACATGCCTGTAAGCCCTGTCAGGGAGAATTAGGGTGCTGCCAGGTGAGAATGTAGAGCTTAAGGAAGTCATGCTACCCTTGAGAAACCATCATCATAGCTAACACGTTTACATGTGTTACAGCTAATGGATCTTGGCTCATACGCAGATTTGATACATGACTTGACGGTTGGTCCTTTAGAACACAATTCACTTCCTACCTGCATAACTGTCAGGAAAAAAATATTCAATATCAAGGAACTTTTTATTTCCAAATTACTTTCCTCCGTATATGCAATGACCCTTAATTTTGAATTATATTTCACAGCCTATTAATACTGTATGCACTTACTACCTTTCTAATGTTAAACAACTAACTCCTTTTCAGTTATTAGGGGAAGACTTGTCACCACAGACTTCCATCTGAACTGCTTATTATGCTTATAGTTATGCCATTCTTAATTATCACAAATAGAAACAATTTCATTTTATGAATACCATACCTAAATTTTTAACTGGCTCACCTGAGTAACTTGGATTTATACTGTTTCTTAAGGCTGCAATGAAATGCATATGGAAATGTATTTATGTATCAATGAGTATTAGTTTAACTATACCAGTCTATCAAAAATATGCAGGCTGTCTGGTATTTGCTTTTATATTATAATATTTCAAGACCAGTAATACAATAAACAGTGTTCATCCAAGATGCGCAGTGTTACAGTGGTACTGTTCCAGAAAACTATGTAAGATATTTTATCTTTCAGCTGAGACTCAGTTTATTATCTGCAAAGGTTGTGGGTCGCACACTGTCTTTAATCACTCCCAGGTGATTATACTTCCTCTTCCATTTTTCTTTATATTTCAAAATATATGCTGACAGCTCATAGTGTCAAACTAAAATGGCAGTATAAACAGTATCTACTGCCTCTCTTATGAGTTATCAACATATTTCAATAAGTAAACATTGTACAACAGAAATCATCTGATATGGGAACTATGGGGGATGAGCGTTAACAAGTTAACACCAGGCAGAGGAAGCTGGTCTGAGACTGGGGGCTTGCTCTGAATTGTCTCAGGGAGAAACCCAGCTGCCTCTACAGTATACAGAGCCTAGTCTCCTGTATGTGCGAGTATGATCTGAATGCTAGAGAAAAGCCCCCTATGCCTATTAAATTATTTACAGCACTTCATGAAACATCTCAATGTATGATTTACTTAATCCATTTGTCGCAGAATATTTCATTACTTCGCATTGTCACATATGCAGAAAGGCAGAATATTCAAAGCTGTTTAAAATGTCAATGCTGTTGACAAAAATGTCAACTTTATTATAAATATAATCCTGTACTAGAAAGACTTTGCGTTGTGTTTATTGGGAAGTGGGAGCACAAAGCCCCACTGCGCAGGGGAGGCTGTGCAGCTGTTGCGCCACGCAGACGGAGATGCATGCACTTCAGAAGGCAAGGACAACTGCCTGCCTGCTGACCCATACTGTACATCCGCGTGCATTTTTCACACATCCATTGAAGCTAATAAAACCCAGAACAGTACTAGAAATGCAGATCCATGGAATGAAAGCGCTACTTACCTTTACTTTATACAAGTGAGTTTCCAAAAAGTAGTGAGTAACTCAGAATATTGTTTTTATATTTTATTTGTCCTATAGTAAAAAGCTGGATTGGTGAAACTTTTCAGCCTAGATTCCTCTAGAATAAAGCAGTGAGGCTATTTAACAATGTGAACGTGGAAACAATAGAAATACATTGAGCTGTCTCAAGGTTTTGACTCTTTTTTTTTTTACAATCTCCCACCAAAGGAGCCCTCGTTACTTACCTCCTTCTTCTGTTTGTCTCTATCAAATATTTCTGTGCCCTATGCCGACATATTTTTTGATCTTCTTTCAATGCCCGACGTTCTTCTTCTAAATCCCATTCAAAATGAAATGTTAGATCTCTATCCCTAGTATTGTGTTAAGGATAATGGAAACTGTATCAAACAGCTCATTAAAAGATACAATAGCCTGTTTGGTTGACTTTACATACCTTTTTGGGAAAGGGCAAACTTTACCCATGACATACAAAATGCTGATACGCCTTTTGACAAAGTACGCAACAGTTTGTCCCATAAATGTATATTATGGTCATACCTAACTTTATATTCATCAAGAAAAAGATTTAATTGCATTTTACTATTTACAGTGATTTTAACAAAGGCTTTGCACTCATTTTTCATGGTATCAACAGATGAAAAATCTCACCTTTATTATGCTTATTTGAAGATACATCTTTCTGTTGTTATCTAAATCTGTAACACATGGATACATTTATCACAGGGAAAAAGTTTCAATAGTAAAACCAGCCCCCTCCCAATCTAAAGGATTAGTTGTTTACACTGAAATTCATTAATATCGCTGGATAAAAGCTCTCCACAGAGCAAGATCAGTCCTCTCTCACTTAAGTAATGATTTAAGTAGCACCATATAGGTGCAGCTTAGAACTTGTGTCAGTATTTCTTATTACTTAAATTCAAGAAAATAAGGATCCCCGAGTTAGGATGGAAAACACAATTCCCAATGGCAGTATCTCTTAGAAGAGGGAAAACAAGAAAACTCCCAAGTTGCCAGAGAAGTCAACTTTTCTACAGCAGTTCAAAAAAACAACATACAAGTTTCATTTCAAGCCACCCCTGAGGCGACCCCTGACCGCGGGGCAGGGCAGGGGCTGTGCCGCCACCGCCTCACACGGGCCCCACGCAGCCCAGCGGCCCCA